GGGCGGAGACCAATGTAGAGCAATAGATGCGAGTGCGGTGTCATCATCGACTTCATCGTCATCATCATCATCAGCGTTGCGGTGCGGTAGAATGGAGTGATTCTCATGGGGATTTCACTCAATTAGAAGACGTCAGTGGTAGTGTTGTGGTGGAAGGTGTGATTTCGGTGAGAGATCCATTCAGTTTTTTTTTCCGCGAACGGATTGAGTAATGAATGGATTTAGTATGGCACTTTACTGACGGTGGAGTGATTTGAGGTTTTTCGTGGCCCAGCTGATTTTGAAATAGATTTGTGTTTAGATTAGAAGTGTTTGGGTTGGAAAACTCACAGTTTCATAGAAGCTGTGTGAACATTGGCGTAGCTAGATTTTTTCATTTGAGGGTGCAGAAGCAGTGTTAATAAAAACTATAGGGTTAACTACCCCATTTCCGGCCTATTAAGCACAACCCGCACTTATACTCTCTTAATCTAATTTATTTACCTTTCCGTATGTACCGTAAGATTTGATAAAGAGAAATCAATCGTTGAGATATTGTCAAAAGTCTAACACTGCTTATTGACGCCAAACTCGGCCTACGGATTCTAAACTCGGCCTAACGCATTGAAACGCCATTCAAACGCCAATGAATTCACTTCCGCCTATCGGATGAAGATAAAAATTGATTCGATCGGAATGCTTCTTTTGTTTTTGGGCATAATGGGTGCAAATATTCATATACCACATAGGTGTTTCATCTTCTCGTAGTAGGGGTTAAAAGAGAAAAAGAAGGAGAAGAACAGTGAAGTCCGATCGCAACGCGGTCCGCAAGAAAATAGTTTCCCTAGAAGCCCTTCAATTTAGTGAAGAGGAAGAAAGTGCTGAGTGGTTGCGATGATGCGCGTTGGTGATGGTAACCTCCAACTAGGTCGACCAAATGTTGTAAAGGATTGTGATCGGATTTACCGGGAAATACCGATTGGAGCTTATGACCATTAAGGACAGGTAAGTAGTTGGTCCATCAAGGTAAGATAAATTAATAAACATATAAAGTATCCGTTCGATTTTGGCAACACGTCCTCAGTATATTTAAACTGCTTGTGCTCTGCAGTTATACTATTAAATTCTGTTTAATAATGTTCTTAGATTTCCAGTAAAATTGTGGAGCTTTAAACGTCACCTGCAGGCCTGTTCTGCGAGTAGTATGGCTCTCTGTCGCTAGTAGGGTGACGGTGGTCGCCTCGTGTGAGGTGACTCTTCATTTGATTGCACGGAGAGTCACCCCACTAGTGCGTGACTTTTGTTGACTCATTGGTGGTGGAAATTCGCACGACTCGCGGTATAGGTCAGATGATAAGATTTGCATGCAAAGATTTTGAAAAGATAAGAAGTCAAAATTGTGTTGACAAAATCTAACGTTCCCTCGTATGATGGCTTGTTCTACATCGGCTTGTAGGATTTTATCATTGGAAGGCGATTCTCCTGATCCCGCGGATTGCACGTAAGTGTATCTGATTACGGGTCCGCCCCTCCGTTTTTGGCCCTTCTTACAATGGTAAATTGAGTACAACCAGGTATCGGACTTGATCAAGTCATACTTGGAGGATGATCCACTGTCTAATGGTTGTGCCTTGCAACAATGAGTGGTATCCTTTACATACATACATACAATGGGTGCAAATATTCATATCAAGCGTTCTCATTGACTTCGTTCCGTAGCTTATTAACTAAAGCATCGTAACAAACGCATAATTGACTTGTTATCTCTGAAATCATGGATTTATTTGAAGTTTTCTGCTCAATAAGCCCAAAATGGGCGATAAGGCCGAAGTAGTTCTCTACCCTACGCATCACACTGAATTTTGGCAATTATACGAAATAAGACTGTAGATAAAATGCCTTTATAAACCGCTCTCTGTGCATGCGAAATGCTGGCTTAAACGGAATATGGATGGAAGTGGCAAATTTTGCAGCTGTTAAAAATATGGTAACAAGATTTCTAGTTTTTTGACTTGTGATGCAAAATACCGTAGATTTGTAGAACTGATCAGTTTTGACACATTCAAGAATCCATAGGTGCAATCTAAGGAATGTGGTTTATATTCAACGAAATCTGTGGAGTTGAAAATATTTCAAGCGATATGGTTTTGCAAATATCTTTGTGTTTTCTACTTTTAAACCACATAAGAACTTTTATCGCAATTCAGAATTTATTCCTAAGGTTTTCTTTAAACATTTATTTTTCAAAAAAGAGCAAGGTTTGTTTCATTAATACTATTACTACTTACCTCTGTAGTTGCATTGCTCACCCACAAAGTTGTACACTTGCTATTAGGCTATCGATTGGTTTTATCCTTAAAGTCCTAAGCGTACCTCAAAAGTTCTGAGAATTTCAAATGCAGACGGCACTGTGCAGATTTCGGAAGCAAAAACGATTATATTATTGGCTGCCGCAAAAAACCGCATTTGAAATATTTATTAATTTAGGTGAAAGGATCAAGGAATCTTTACGCACAATTTGAACCTTGTTTTGACCTATTCTGTTTTGTCAGAAAGTCATGAAAACCACAGATCGTACAAAAGACCTCCTTCTCCTTCAGACATGTTTTATAATGGGGGAACTTTCTACGACAATTTACTCTCTTCTCCAGTGTGTTTTTGCTTTTGTCTTCCTGGGGTACTTAACTCGGTGACATGGGTTTCGGCGTTGACTGATCAGCTTTCCGATTTTCCGAAATGGGTTTTCTGGGAGGTCTATTCTCGTTACTAGAACCCTTAAACCCATCAGAAATTTGGCGGTTCTATTCTGGTTTGCTCGAGTTTTTCCTGACCTTCCAATCCATTGACGATGGCTTCTGTTCCCTTTGAAACGGCCGCAAATCGATCTCGTGCATCGGAGAAGCTCGGGAGTCCAGCTCACTTTCTGGTTTCCGGTACAAGAACCAATTCGCGGAAACTAACTTTTGACCCCAAACCTTCAGCGTCCTCAACGTTCGGACACTCTTCACCAGCAAAGAGTTTTTGTAGTCCGAACAGATATTTCTGAAAACTATGTCGAACTTCCGCTGATCTGTTGGTGGAACAGTCATCTGGCCAAAGATCTCCTTAATTGCATCTCCCTTTTCTGCCTTCTCGATTGCACCCGCTGTTCATAGTGAAAATCAATGTCCGGTGGCTGGTATTCCAACTTCAGTTCTGTCACTAGCTCGGTCCAGTTTCTGAACTCCTTGTTCCTCCTTCCTTCTATATACCAGGCCCTAGCATCGCCCAAAAACAGGTGGATTGCCTCGTTAAACACGATTCGGTCAAACAGGTCCTCCGCGTGAACGAATAGGGCGAATAGGAGTATTAGACTTCCTGCTATGCGTCAAATGCTTATCTCTCACGGTATCTTCTGTTTCTTCTTGTTCCTGTTCCTAGAGTCGGTGTATAATGAGTCACGCCAAGAGTGAAGCCAGTCTACTTATTGAACTGTCAAACCGGCTACCTATCGTGCAAAGTAAACAAGCATTACGATGCTTTGAAAGGTCCACGAAAGGTATTGCAATTAAATATTAAATATAATCGAAGAAATGATCATAAACATGCAGTGAGCATTACATTTGTCATGCGATACGTTTTGTAATGGTCAGTTATGAGAATTTCTACTATTTTTCGTTAAGATAAATTGACAAAATCACTAATTTAATGATGTACTACAGTCGTTACTTTTTTTCCTCGCTAGAAGTCATTTGAAGTTGATGCAGAAGTCCTCTGTTGCCAAGTGAAAAGAAAGGGAATCTTTCGAAAACCGTGATGCGAGTTCAACTGTTTTTCTCTTGGCGTGACTCATTATACACCGACTCTACCTGTTCCTAGTCTCCCTTTTTTGCTCATTTTAATTTTCCTGTTCCTTTTCCTCTTGTTCTGGTTCTTTATCACTCTTATCGTTCCCAGGCTCTTGAGCACTCAACCGGCGCAGCTTCTGAATCCCTAGACAGGACTAAAAATGTTTTATGATATTATGGAATAATATGATATAATGATAATATTTTGTTTGTGTAAGCAAAAAGAAAATATTGTGAAGTTTGTGTTTGACACATAATGTCTGCTAGTTTTGCTACATGAGAGTCGCAATAAGCGAATTTGTCATTTATCTCACCCACTCTTCGCTCTTTACTTTTCGCGAAGATTAGAAATTCGTTCATTGTGACTCTGTCAAAGCTAAATTTGCAGGTTTTTTGTGTCAATCACAAACTTCACAATCTTTTCTTGTTACTTGCACATACAAAATATCATCATAATATCTTATTATTCCATATTTTTTTGTCAAAATGAAGGGGTGGTCACACTTATTTTGCGCCAACATTTTTCTCAGTGTGCTTCAAGTATGCCGCACTGCGTCGAGAGTGTCAGTCACTGTTTGTGAATAATTGAATGTTTGGCAACCCGATATTTTGACAGTTCAAATGTTTCATTTTGCTTACCGAACGCAAGCGAAAGGAAAATCGCACGTGTTGATGTTCTTGGAGAACTCATTCGTGGACGTTGAGAAAGTCCTGCAATCCGAACTGATCATTCCGCTAGAAATCAACGATGAATTGGAATGCGTGTTATTTTCGCTATTGGACAAGAATCTCGGTTAAATGGCCAGTGCTTGCAATCATCATCGACGTGGAATATCTTGTTTTCTGTATCGGTTTTGTAGTGGTCCACCTGGTCCTTCCACATATATTTGTTGTGAAAAGTTTAGATTTATAAAACTGTCCCAGAGGTTATTCGTTAATTTAAGTGGTATAAATGTAATTTTGATGTAAACATAATCTCATAATCACCTAGCACACTCTTACCCATTATTAAGTAAAACTTCACCCATTTTGAAGATAGGTGGCTTAAATCATTAATCATTAACTGCTGGTTATCTAATACTTATGAAAGACATGATTGTAGTACCGTTGTACACCTGTACACACCATAATCTAGTACATCGACTGCGGTACATGTCGGTCGAAGTTATAATATTTAATTATATTCACGGGAATGGATTTCTACAATGGCTCAACTCTCAACCACAGTCCTTCTCTCGGTGTAAGAATGAAACTTTTGCTGGAGTATTCCAACGGGATAAGTGTTTTCGAACATGTACTGAAGCGGAATTTGCTCAAGATTGTAGCAAGTCCCACCCTAGATTGCATCATCCCAAAGCGCAATCCGATGCATATGCGAGGACCTTCACCGAATGGTAAGAACGTGCAAATATGCCGTTTGGCTACTTCCTCCGGATGGAACCGATCTGGGTCGAACACCTCTGGATCAGGATAGTGCCGCTCGTCTCGATGAATAGCAAACGCCGGAATTTGAACCTTCATCCCCTTTGGAATGACCAAATCGTGACCGGGAATCTTGTAGTCCCGGAAAGCTCTACGTTCCAGAACCGGAACCGAAGGGTACAGCCGAAGAGTTTCTGAAAACGGCAAACTTTTAGTCAAAGCCAATACATCGTCGAGAAAACAGAACACACACCGTTGATGCACTGATCCAGATATTGCATATCGCAAACAGCTTCGTACGTCATACTTCCGTGCTTCTTCAAAGCTTTCAACACACACTGCCGAGCCTTCTCCTGATACTCCGGATGAAGCGCCAACTCGTACAAGCAGTAGGTCTGATTTGATGACGACGTCTCGAAACCAGCCGCAAAAAATATAAACGAGTTCGCTGCAATTTCATCCATGGTGAAATCCACTCCATCCTTTTTCATATCAAGCAGCAAACTTAGGAAATCCTTCCTTTCCACCGCATTCTTCTCCCTATAGGCCACCGTATCCTTCACGACACCGTAGAAAAACTCACTGGCGTCATCCTGCAGAGCTTTGACCCGCAAGCGCCTGCCAAGCTCCGGAAACAGTATCAATCCAAGTCGTACCAGCTGTGAGTTCCTCGGAGTTTCGAAAACTCTCTTGCCAAACTCTCTGAACCGGCCGTGCGGATCCTTGAAACTATTACACTCAATTCCGAACGCACAACTGCCAATGATATCGATTGTAAACCGTGCCATAAAGTCCTTCACTTCCACCACCTGACCCTGGCCGATCTCCTTCACCAAAAAATCAGAAAAGTTATCCCCCACCGCAGCAAGCGTTGGAAACATCATCTTCATCTTACCCGACGAGAAGGTCGGGGTAAGCCGTTGCCTTAGCGACCGCCACTTGTTTCCTTCGATTGCGAACATATGAGCCGTCAGCGGGTCGTCCCGTTCGTTGAAGTAGACTCCACGATCCGGAAAGAAATTGAAATCCTTGATGAAGATTGTTTTGATCAGATCCACATCGGTAACGATGATCAGCGGTTGCAGGAAAAAGTACGCACCGTAAAATGGCCCTACGTCTTTCATTTGCCGGTAGGCGTCTTGAGAGACGTCTGCCGTTGATTTCCGGTTGAGGTCTTTGAAGTTTCCGTACGGGAAGTGTGGTTCCATGAATGGGACATTCTGACGGGACCAGTAGGCGTACTTTTGCTTGACGTAGACGAAAATTAGCAGAAGTGGCGTAACTAGTAGGATGATCAGCGCCACAGACATTTTCGTAGATGATGTACCGATTCGAGGGGAAACTTGAAGATAACTGACTGTCTTGGGATGGTGGTACCGAATGTACGTCTTGGAAAGCCGAAAACAATGGGTTAGTTTACATCACGAAGAGGGCAGATAAGACTTATTGCGAGGCGTTATAAATTCGGGTCAAAGATGTGTGTGGTTTACAAGTCTAATCTTTTTCTCAAATGTGCTCAATCATTTTACAGTTGTACGAGCACTTGAAGAGTGCTGAGTTCATAAGATAAGGTCTGGTTTAAAGTGGTAATGAATGCCAAGTAGAGTGAGATTTCGAGAACAGAAACATGATTTACATGGCAAAATCATACATAATTAAAAAAAAATTGAAAATTTTCTATTCAAAACAGATCTGGTGTTTTTTAACCAGTAGAGTAAGGTGATGTAGCGGAGAACGGTGATGCATACACCTTGGCATGGGAAGCAGGGGTGTATGGACTGCAACCCCCTCGAGCTTGATTTGCACTTCCTAAGGAATTGACCTTGGTTTATTCATTTGAATTTCAGGGTTGCCAGATATGTATTTCATAAGTTTAGAAACCTTATTTTTCCATGCCCTAGAAGATTTTGTAGATTTCCACTTCCTGGGCATTATTCCCAGTGGCTTTTCTGGATAACTCAGGTGTGGTAAATGTGCACGGAGAGTAAGAGGACCTCTTCAGCAGGCCGAATGGCATTAGTGAACAATGCTAGAAGAATCAATCGCGAAGTATAAATTACATAAACAATATACAAATCTAGAGTTCTGTAAATCTCCCCCGGATACGGCTCTGATGCTACCTTCTGAATCTTCAAAACCTTAGTAGCTCTGTGAAACTTTCAACATACATTTATCTCAAGTTAAGTTCATCCCAAACAGTGACTGGACCCAATGTTTTCTCGGTCACGCTGTAGACATTTATCGAGACGAGTGGTACCACCGTAATCAGGAGCTGTTCGATCCAGATCGGTTCTATCCGGAGGAGGTCGTTCTTACCATTCGGTGAAGGTCTTTGCATTTGCATCGGATTGCGCTTTGTGATGATGCAATCCAGGGTGGTACTTGCTACAATCTTGAGCAAATTCCAGGTCAGTAAATGTTCCAGCAAAAGTTTCACCGAGAGAAGGACTGTGGTTGAGAGTTGAGCCATTGTAGAAACCCATTCCCATAGTCATCAAACAAGCATTCAGGCTAAATATAGTAAAGGTATAAAATGTAAACAACTGCATTCACTCGCCAAGTAGGCCACGTGATTTATCAACTCGAACGCGGAAGCGGCTCCATACAAGAAAATAATTGAAAATTAGACAACCACCAGTTCCATCAATCGGCCCTAGCAGGCCATGATGTAAATCAAACAAAGCGCCTCTTTCACACAGTTCTGCTAATGTTGTTTTTGTTAAGGTATTCTTTGCTCTGCCGCCGGCGGCCGCGGTGCTTTCGCCGAGCTTCTAATCGATCCCAGACACGTACAATCGGCTTTTCTCTATGCATGTTAATAGGGCTTTTTGTCCGTCGTTTCTCCAGTAAAAGTTTTTCCACCACAAGCAAACGACTCTTAATCTTAATCGGCCGCCTCTCGCAGCCAAAGTTGCCGTTGTAAATAAAACTGTAATAAATCATAATCTTTTCACAATAACGTTCGTATAAACATCTTCTCACAGTCACACCCAATCGGTGATTGTAAACAGAATCGAATTGAAGTAGCCCGGGCAGCAACCGTCCGTTACTCAAGGCAACGACAACCGCACGAACGGTTGCAGTCAATGGTTACTAAGTTTTGTAATTACCGTCACTATTAGCATAGTTGATGGAGAAATTCTTTCTCCTGTCGAGCCTTCTTCTGGTGGAGGGTGGGCGGCGGTAGGTGATTATTACCGGGCGTTTTGTTGCCTTCCGTTTTTGCTCATTTTGCAATTTCGTAGCAAACCAGCAAAAGACAACACACAAACCGCGATGAAGTGGCGGAGAAGCGGAGGTGGGTTATCGGGAAGGTTTGATCGGATTCCGGACTGCTGACTGGATTGAACGGCAGCGAGTGGTCGAAGGTGATGGAAAGAATTCGTGCAATTTAGCGGAGGAAGTCGAAACAAGCTGCTACTGGGAACGGGACTGATCTGGACCATGGCTTGGCTAAAGAGATTAAAAATTCAATTAAGACATTAACGCTCTTTGCCTTTCGATTGGTGTGTGGTTTGCGCTTGGATCAGCAAGATAAGATAGTAAAGTTGTTGTGAGCAGTCGAGCTTTCGGAGAGGGCACGGCACGAGCTCGTAGCTGGCTTGGGCTTGGAGGAGTTTTTAGTTGATGATTTTTTATTGAGTTGGTGGTAGAAGGAGTGGGACTGGATTGAGATCATAGGTTTGTTTCACTAGAGCTGTCCATTTGATTGCTATTTTATTGGAGTTTAAGGTGGTAATGAGAACATTAGGCCATACAACTGTCATAGTAGGCTTGGGTAAAAGTTTCCTTTGCCTACTTTGATTATCTTAGCACGCAATTTATGCAAACAACGATTAGTCATACAAACAGCACTAAAATGGCCGGATAAACGTTTTTCAGCGAACCGCCATCGTTCATCCCGTCGTTCCAGGAACTATTTTTCTGATTATTTCGCACGTCATTCATTCGTCTTGTCTTGGAGTTTTCTGAGACTGTGTTTGCCATTCCCAGACTCATAATTCGTTCCGGTTGTGGCGGTGCCTGTTTCGACGAGCACCAACTGCAACTATAAAAGAGAACATGTCCGACCAGACAAAAATATGAATAAACCGCAATTTGTTTTCGCGAGATGAGAAATGATGCAAAAAGTAACGCAAATAACATCCCAGCGAGAAAAAGATGAGCGAATAACTTTTTTTTCAGCATTAAGCTACAAGTTATGGCTCCAATGTAGACGGCAACGGTGCCCAAGAATGGTCGGTATGGCGACCATAATCAGACTAATCCAAATTCGAAACCGGAAACCGTCAGGCTGCCAGAGAGCGAGAAGGTGGCAAGAATTTTATTCAAATTTAATCAGAACTTTTGTGCGCACAATAATACTGCAACAATGTTCCTTTTCACTCACTCTCATACCCTCAGGAGGATGGATCTTAACTCCGACGAAACTTGCCAAAACTATTCCACCCTGTGCAGTGCCATGAAGATGGTGCAAATTTTATATATAAAATGCAAAAGTGTAATAAAAATGGAACAAGTTGTTGTTTCTCGCGCATCACAATTTCTTTGCCTCCCTCGCGACGGCTGCTGCTGCCGTTTTCAGGCTCCAGATTAAAATGTAAATATAATAATGAAACTGTCGACGAGCAAATTCCGGCGCAATGGTGCTCTTCAAAGCTTTGGCCCCCCTCCACAGGGCAACCGAGGGCATTTACGGGTACGGCAAAGTTTAATCTCTCCGTAGTCAGTACCTAATAGCAAAAGCGACGCTGTTCAGGAGGGCCTGAGGTTGAGCACTGCAGGGTGTCACCGCGGTCAAAGAGTTTAAATGCAGCTTCGGTGAGGAGGTCAAGTGGTCGCAGTAGGCGGTGAGACTTTAGAACTTGAAATGTGCACCATTTGGCTACTAGATTGGTTGAAGTTTCAAAATAGTCGCTTTAAGCGCGTTGTTGTGGTTTATTTATCGGAATTTGTGATGCAAAATGATACTCGGAAAATCTAAATGAGTGATCGCTGTGAGATACTTATTTTCGTAACCACTTCGATACTTTAAGTGCACATCAGCTTCCTCGAAACGTAGCACATTGAAACTGTTACTTCACGTTTGCTGTACTGCAGCATACAGGAAATTGCAATTTCAGGTGAATTGGGGCATTAATTCCCGAAATTTGTGTAATTGAAAATTCGAAGGGGAAGTGTATATCTAGCCTACGTGGCGGCCATTTGTGGACTCTACAAGGAATCACCTTAAATCAAATTCACTTCAAGAATATTGAACATGAGCCTGAGCCCATGAGCTGATAATTAAAACAAGGGCTATTCTCATTCATTTGTTTTTGCTTTGATGTGTTGTATTTTGAACAATTTCAAATGCTGTCGATCGACTACACCAAAAGAGTCGTAAAAACCCATATCAATAATGAGGCACAATACCAAACTGGGCAAATAAAACGCAGCGAAGGCAAACATGCAAAACTTAATCTTAAAACAAATAATAATAATTAGGTCTTAAGCTTAACTAGTGATAACAAGCCCAGGGAGGCTATTGATAAACCCTCTACTATGTTTAAAATTCAACAAGAGATTAAATTAAAAAAATTGGTCTGAAGCATAAAACAAAATTATCATCGACTTATGTATGACATTTGAGTTTTCCGTGTATCAGCCAAGTTGAAGTCGGCATTAGGGTTGGGAGTACCAATGATACCTATACCAAAAACCGGTAAAGCCGTCCATTTAAACAATACCAAAATTCCCGGTTTTATATGTAAAACAAAAAACTGGTAATTCTGGAATATGTTGGTAAAAAACATGGTTAAACTGCTTGCAATTTTTTTTTTAAATGAACCTGAAATTGAAAAAAATTGAAAAAAATATAAATTAAAAATATGTAGTCTAGTAGACATGTTCAGGAAAATAAAATGCTAAATTTTAAGTGGCTTACGCCCCTGGTAGACAAATTCGAGCAAAATTTAAAAACATAAGTTAACTTTCAAATGGCAGCTGGTAAACATGTTCAGGATAAAATGGACAAAAATCTTAAATCAGAAAAAAAAAAATTAAAAATTAAAAATTTGAAATAGTTTGCACCCCTTACATACCTACATGATCATTGAATTTTGAAATGATTTGCGCCCTTAGAAGACAACTTCAGGAAAAAATTAAAAAAAAATGAAAAATTTGAAATGGCCATAAACGTTTTCAGGGATAAAACATATCATAATCGTAAATTTTGAAGTGGCTAGCGTCCCTTACATAGACGTTCAGGAAGAAAGGAGGAAGGCAAGAATCAGGTTCATGATCTCCAGAGATACCCCTCACCATCCATACCCTAACAGGGGAGTTTGGTAAAGTAGATGATCAACCCGAATCGTGCCTTCCT